GCATCAGATCATCACTTACTGGTCGCCAAGATGAAATTGAAACTCAAGAAGCACTGGACAACGGGGCAGACAGTATCACAAAAGTTCAATACGGCCTTTCTCCAGGATACTAACAAACTCAACAAATTCAAGATAGTCCTCAGCAACAAGTTCCAGGCCTTTCATGATCTACTCAATGGAGAAGGAACTACTGTGGAGAGCAACTGGAAGGGGATCAAAGAGGCAATCACTTCAACATGTCATGAGGTCCTGGGTCACAAGAAGCACCACCACAAGGAATGGATCACTGTTGGTACACTGGATAAGATTCAAGAAAGGAGGAACAAGAAGGCAGCGATCAATACCAGCCGAACAAGAGCAGAAAAAGCCAAGGCACAAGCTGAATACACGGAAATAAACAAACAAGTGAAGAGGAGCATCAGAACCGACAAACGTAAATATATGGAAGATTTAGCAACGACGGCGGAAAAGGCTGCAAGTGAAGGAAACATGAGACAATTGTATGACACGACAAAGAAACTCTCTGGAAATCGCCGTAAACCAGAACGACCAGTGAAAAGCAAGGAGGGTGAGGTAATCACCAACATTGAAGAGCAACAAAACAGGCGGGTAGAACACTTCAAAGAACTCTTGAATCGACCAGCTCCCCTGAACCCACCCAACATCGAAGCAGCACCCACGGACCTCTCAATCAATGTTGGCCCACCAACAATTGAAGAAATCAGCATGGCCATCAGACAAATCAAGAGTGGCAAAGCAGCAGGACCGGACAACATCCCAGCAGAGGCACTAAAAGCAGACGTAGCGGCAACTGCACGGATACTCCACATTCTCTTCAATAAGATTTGGGATGAGGAACAAGTACCAACAGACTGGAAAGAAGGACTACTGATCAAAATACCAAAGAAAGGCGATCTCAGCAAGTGTGATAACTACAGGGGCATCACTCTTCTCTCAATACCGGGAAAAGTCTTCAACAGGGTATTGTTAAACAGGATGAAGGACTGCGTAGACGCCCAACTTCGTGACCAACAGGCAGGATTCCGTAAGGATAGATCGTGTACAGACCAAATCGCAACTCTACGGATCATTGTGGAACAATCAATTGAATGGAATTCATCACTCTACATCAACTTCATTGACTACGAAAAGGCATTTGATAGCGTGGACAGAACAACACTATGGAAACTTCTTCGACACTACGGCGTGCCCCAGAAGATAGTCAATATCATACAGAACTCATATGATGGATTACACTGCAAAATTGTGCATGGAGGACAGTTGACAAAGTCGTTCGAAGTGAAGACCGGTGTTAGGCAAGGTTGCTTACTCTCACCCTTTCTCTTTCTCCTGGTGATCGACTGGATCATGAAGACGTCAACGTCTGAAGGGAAGCGCGGGATACAATGGACATCTAAGATGCAGTTGGATGATCTAGACTTCGCAGACGATCTGTCCCTTCTATCCCAAACGCAACAACAGATGCAGGAGAAGACGACCAGTGTAGCAGCATTCTCAGCAACACTAGGTCTCAATATACACAAAGGGAAGAGCAAGATTCTCCGATACAACACAGCATGCACCAATTCAATCAAAATTGACGGAGAAGATTTGGAAGATGTGAAAACCTTTACGTATTTGGGCAGCATCATTGATGAACAGGGTGGATCTGATGCAGATGTGAAGGCGCGGATCGGCAAAGCAAGAGCAGCATATTTACAACTGAGGAACATCTGGAACTCAAAGCAGCTGTCAACCAACACCAAGGTCAGGATTTTCAATACAAATGTCAAGACAGTTCTACTGTATGGAGCAGAAACCTGGAGAACTACAAAAGCCATCATCCAGAAAATACAGGTGTTTATTAACAATTGTCTACGCAAAATACTTCAGATCCATTGGCCGGACACTATTAGCAACAGCGCACTGTGGGAGAGAACAAACCAGATCCCAGTGGAGGAAGAAATCAGGAAGAAGCGCTGGAAGTGGATAGGACACACATTGAGGAAAGCACCCAACTGTGTCACAAGAAAAGCCCTCACATGGAATCCTGAAGGTCAAAGGAAAAGAGGAAGACCAAAGAACACATTACGCCGGGAAATGGAGATAGACATGAGAAAAATGAACAAGAATTGGATGGAACAAGAAAAGAAGGCCCAGGACAGAGTGGGTTGGAGAATGCTGGTCAGCGGCCTATGCTTCATAGGGAGTAACAGGCGTAAGTAAGTAAGTAATTATAATCTAAACATTTCTTTATTCAAATAGTGAAAAGACCTGCGAGTAGTCTATAATACCCTTTTGCGACAGCGGCTTTAGAGTTGTAGCGTGGCGTCGAGTTGAGATTAACTGTGAACACCGCTACCAGGAAACACGTGCCAGATAAATCAGAAGGCGTAGGAAGCTCGTTCATAATGACTCCATAAAATCCCCGAGAAGCCGAATACCAGAAGACAGTTAATGGACCAAGTCGAGGTTTATTAGCTGGCGATCTCGTGGCATCGAAAGGATACCGAGATCGTGCCAGGATACAACCCTGGTTACAGAAGGTAACCGAATTCGCGCGAAGTTACAATCAAAGTGTGTGTATAAGAATGGAAGCACAAAATAGCTGTCACTAGCACAGTTAAACAAAAGCACATTAAAACAAACACTGGTACAGTTGGTTATGATAATAATTGTTTTTTATTAAACCAGTCGTGTTCTCGTGATATACGTGAGTCACTACAGAGTTACTAGTAGTTTAGAGATCGTTGTTTGTTATGACACCTAAGTATTTGTAGTCCATTACTTCGCGTAACCCGAACTCACATATTGTGTAGTGATACGAGCCGTCATCGTTATTTAGTTGCATCACCACACTGTTGGTAAGATTTACTTCTAGTCGCCATCCGTCCATCCATGCCACCAATGAGTTGAGATCATCCTGTAATGCTATTTCATCTGACATATTGTGTATGGGTCACCAGGTCTTTATGACATTGGTGATGAGTATAACGAGCGACTTTGCTACAGTTGGTTATTCATTGACATAAGATAAAAAAGTAACAGATCCGAGGATTGTGCCATAGGGAACTCCACTTTTTTGCAGGTTTCACAATGAGAGAGCTCCATTTACCCTTACCCTTTATTTCTTGCCATTAAGTAATTCATTTATCCGTCCTATGGCTTATAATGGATTCCGAAACTTTCCAGTCTTAATTTAAGACCAGAATGGGAGACCGTAGATCTATGAAAATCACATCTACAGGAATATTTTATCTTTTGATGCAGCTCAATCTTCTCTTGCAATGAGAAGATTAGTCAAACGTGATAGGCCTTCCCGAAAAACTCGTTTGTCCCTGGATGAAATGTTATGACCTTCCATATTCGAATAATCTTTTCCATTAGTTTTACGACTGCACTGTTTAAACTAACGAGTCTATAGTTACCAACTACTTCTCTACCCCTAGTCTTATACAGCGAACTAATTATTACGTGTTTTCAGTCTCTGGGCAGTCTGCACTGCACAGAGATATATCAGATAGCATGGCTATAGGTTGAGCAACTTCATCCGACAGGGCTTTCATAAACCCAGGATGAATATCAATCGAACCACTGAACTTATCAGGTTCGAGATGCTGAAGTAGTCTTAAGACAGCACCCTTCTCAATAACTACAGGGTCCATCAACAAGCCAACAGAATCACAATTAATCGTTGGTCGTTCCTAATTGCTGGTAGAAAACACTTTGCTGAAATAATCTGATAACTCTTGAGCTGTATGAGCACCATCTCTTGCCAATATTAACGGATTTTCTTGCACCTTATGTAATTCCACCATTTCTCCGGGTTTGCTTTTTTATATATGCTAAGGTTGAAGCTATCACGAGATCACTTAATCTGCGAACGAGAACAAATAATCAGTGACCAAAGATCATTAAGCTAGCTATTTGATGCGTCCCAGCCTCGCTAAATAGAGAGAGAAGTTCAAGCTTGGAATGGGAAGTATATTCTGCAAAACAGCCAGAAACGTGCGATAACAACAAACACAATTCAAAACGTATATATATCAATTATATGTATATAATCGATATTGCCACGGAAGTTTTTTTAAACATTTAATCGATAATTATATTTTCCTTGAAAAAGCTTGGACCAGATTGCCAGGCGAAACATTGAATTTACTTCAAATTCTTTCTCTGAGATTATACAAATACATTCTTCCTATTTAGTCGATAAGCTCGTCAGTCGACTATGTGCGTGTGTGGTAAGAAATGCTCAAGCAAACATGTGCATACAAGCTCCATACAGATAAGATTACAAAATATGAGTTTTGAGGATCAATCGTCCCCAACAATATACGAGAATAACCGTTTAGGACTATTTTTACAATCTATAGCCAATTGTTTCTTATTTATTAACGATTTACAAGCATTCCTAGTCTTACAATAACTGGGTCTGTACTGTTCTAAGCCAGTAGAGATGAACATATTTCTGTGCTTTTGCTACATCTAAGAAATTTCTTGATTCGTTTAGTTATCCATGGTAAACTGTTATTCAGTCTACGTGGTACCAGGTATGGTATAAACGAGGACGCAACTGAACTAAACTTGCCTTTAGATATAGACCATGCTTCTTCAACTGACTAGCTACCATCTACTGATCAATCTGTCTTAGTAGAACACCCCTGAATGGCTGATATGTTAGCTCTCCATACATTTAGACGAGGCTTAACATGATCGTGTATCATGTCTCTAGCTCAAAAGGTGAATGACAAAACAACGTGATCACTATTTAATGACGGTGGAGGTATATTTAGGCTGACAATATCTTCAGTCACATGGGTGACTACCATGTACAATAAATAAGAACCTTGGTTCGCACTAAAACATGTGGGTTATCAGGAATGGAGCACACATTAGTACAGTATGTATCCAAGCCCACACGTTTTCGTGCAAACCAAAGTACTTCTTTGTTGGACATGGTGATCACTCATGTGACTGAAGATATTGCCAACCTAAATATACTTCCATCGTTATTGAATAGTGATCACGCTGTTTTGTCATCCACGTTTAGAACTAGTGACATGAATATCGTCTGCTGACGCTTTCAAAAGAAGGTTGGATCGACTGAGCGAGCACCATTGCTGGGAATCAAACAAGACACCTGGCTTTCTTTCCTTTCGAAACTGAGACAAAACTGAATATTGGACCTCGGTTTCTTTAGCACTTTTGGTTCAGTAAGCCGCTGCGCAAAGTTTGAGTATTCACGAAACATTTGTCCACATATAAGTCAAGCATTTGAGATGCGTCTGTTTGCAGGAAGTTATGGGGAATCGTTTCCAAGGAATGGTTATTTCGATGTCTGCAAAGGATAGAGATTTCAATTTTGGACACGGTGAGATAAGCAATAGCGTTGACATTAAAGTCTCACAGCCAATGGACGATATCAGTCCTTTCCTTTCGTCCAGACCCCTATCCAGCAAAACTAGAGTTTCTGAAACTTCTCAAAACAGTCCGCCTTTGGTTAACTGTGCGAAATCTAAGGCGCAGCCATATCAATCAGCAAATCTCACACCAAACGTTGGAATAAGTATTTCTCATCCTTCTGATACACAAACTGTAACCACTACGAAGATTAGTGGTAAAAGTGTTAAGCAGTTTAAACCCAAACATTATGTTGCATTATTCGATTACAATGCTCGAACAGAGGAGGAAACATTTCTTTCTAGAAGAGATGAAGTCTTGCTGTTAGCTGACAAGTAAGTTCATTTTTTCATCGTATTACAACTTTATCATTACTCAAAACGTTGCATATCTTAGTTTCCAAGCTTTCGATTCACACGAGGTTTCGAGAGTATGACGGAAGTTATTGAACCTTTTGGAAGGAACTACAATTTAACATAGGAAATCATTATGATTACTTTCATCGACCCAGCATTTGGTCGGGAAACTAATAGCTGTTGCCTTGACTACTCTTAGTGACTGGGGATGTATAGACGTTGACGGCCTTATTTTCACTTTGTACATGACTCTAAATATTAACGATTTTACACGTATTTTTGTTAGCCTCTACGAGAATCATCTGTAAAAATATTTTCGGCTAAAAATGTTTACCTGCAGATGAGATCTTTTTCGCACTAAATGATAGCAGAAAGGCAAGGATTAGTGCATTAGCGAGATCTTGATTTTTCATGATCAACTGTATTCTTGGTACTACAATCTGTTTCTTTAGTGATTTTGGTGATATTTCCAATTGTTTTTTGTATCTTAGACGCCTTCCACGAACGTCGATATCCTGTCTTACTGGAACATTGTTATTTAGTTGCTTATTCGGACGAATAAAAAATTGGAACAAAGGAGCACGGAGATAGATTTGCACCACATCATTGAATTTGTACTGAGATACTACCCACGTGCCCAAACCGAAGTGGTTATTTTCCCTAGAGGACCACTCTCCGAGAGTTTGACCCGGAGGTCTAATCCACAGTTATTACTTGCTAACTAGACTCAACTTCGCGGTTGATTGCTTCAATCACAGTTGCTTTTCTAAGTGTTTAACTTTTATTACATTGTAGATGTAACCATAAACATTCCGAATCAGAAGTTTAAATATATACTGCATATAATTCGGCTTAGATTGTTAGTTGAATAAGCTGTTAGCATAATATTTGGAGTAAATGACAGTCTGTAAAGTACTAATTTAGCTTGACTGTTCTTTTGAGTATTGACTTGAGCTCATAACCGTATGACAGTGATCTGTTAGTAGGAACGTTTTCTACTCACCTTTGTGTGTTGTCACGGTCAATATCTCTGTAAAAATGAAGGAGTTCAAGGATTACAATCGAATCAAATCAGTCTGAATCTATGTGTGATACTTTCCCTGTCTTTATTTTAGTGTATACTAATATATATCTTTGGCTCACACTTACTGCTTACCAAACGACTGGTTATGATTCTAAGTCATAGTTTGACTGTTATCAATGAACTTGTTAGATACTGCTTAAAACCTGTCAGTAATTCATTGATATGAACATGTACTTACTGTTAATTAGCTTATTACGTATTCTAGCCTGTTTTACTGTAATGAAATGGGCAGTATTGACCCAAAATGCCCTGGTATGGCTGAGAGCGGGGTGGGCCCTCTCTCCCTCTCAAAATACTCTCACACGGCCACGCGTATACAGCATCTACCGGTGTAGTCCTACTCACTACTTTCTCGTGGCGGGGGTTGTTTACAAAAATGAGAGGACGAAAAGCGAATATGGTATGGTATGTGCTTTGCACCTTCGAAGTGCAAAGTATTTCTACAAGACTGGCAGGATTCTAATCATGTACTCACCGTGGGTGGTGAGCAGATAGGAGTAGTCGAGAAGTTCGTGTGTCTGGGTAGCTGTATAAGTGCTGATGGGAGTGTGAGTGATGAGATCAATGCACGTATAGTGAAAGCCAGAGCGGCTTATGCCAATCTGGGCCATCTTTGGCTCCTTCGTGATGTTAGTCTGGTTGTAGAAGGTCGTATCTACAACGCGTCGGTGAGAGCAGTTTCGCTCTATACTTGTGAAACCTGGCCTCTCCGAGTTGAGGACGTTAGACGATTCTCTGTGTTCGATCGTCGCTGTCTCCGAAGGATTGCTGACATTCAGTGCCAACACCATGTCAGTAATGCAGAGGTTCGGCATCGTGTGTTCGGGTGCAGAGATGATAATTCAATTGGTGTTACCATCTTGAAAAGCCGACTTCGATGGCTTGGACATGTTCTACGAATGTCGTCCCAGAGAATTCCTCGTCGTGCATTATTTGCCGACCCTGGGACTGGTTGGAAAAAGCGGAGAGGTGGTCAGTGTATGACATGGTGTCGTGGTATGAGGGAAATCTGCAAAGGGCGTGCTTATGTTGGACCTTCACGACTCCCTGGCTGGGGTCCGAGAGATGGTGCAACACAGTGGCTAGAGACGTTATCAGATATTCTTCTTTTACTTTCTTCATAAAAAGTGGTTGTATCTTCCTTAACTGAAAGATTTCTTCTGATTGTACCTTTTCGTTTCCCCCATTATTATTACGCTACCTTACCTTATTTTGTTCGTTATTGTTCTTTATTATTTATTTTTATTATTTTCCTTACTCTCCTCACTTTTTTCCCTTCTCTTTGAATTCCCATTGTTTTGTGTGGCGCATATATATTTGGTGCCCTCTTGTACCAATATTTATGTGTTCAAATAAGAAATAAAGTATTGACAAGCTCCAAATGTTCAACACCTGCAAACGTACGTGGTTGCTGAGCCGTGTTACAAAGCGATCAATTTGATATAATTGTGGCAGAGATGTGGTTATATTATAATTTGCTTACGGAGCCGACCTTCAAGCCTCAAACAAACAAATTTTAGAAGGCGGAACTGCCTAATTAACCTTTATATAAAAGGAAACTGAAGCTATTGTTTACATACAAACTACTGAATCAAGATAAGTTCTCATCATAAATGGATAATCAATTAGGGCTAGGGAATAGTGATCACAAAGAAACCAGTGTTTAGTAATTTTTGCCCATCATATCATGAGGTTGTCCATATTTCTCTTGTTTTAGCTTGTTTTTGCAATATGTTTCTTAGGAATTATTATCAAAAGTACCTGTGTCAAACCGTATAAATTCTCTATTAATTCTGTGTAATGACCTTACTTTTTGCTCTTTTCAGTGATTCAGATTGGTGGCTTGTACAGAACTTAAGTTCCGGTAGGAAAGGATATGTTCCAAGCTCGTTTGTTGCGAGAAAAGGATCAGTTGAAGCTGAAGAGTATGTTTCCGGTTGAACTGTTTTTCTTTTAAATTTCACTTGATTCGCTTATATGCAACTCAGTATATAACATATGAAAAAAGGTAACAAAAATACTCACGTGGTTCAAAATTGAAGTCATAGATCAGTTTCATGATTTTGTAAAACTCCTTCTCTTTTACTAATTAACCAGGAATCTCCAATTTTTTCTTAGGACTTCGTTGATCACTGAAACTACTATTGTGCTTTTATGCAAACCTGTATTTGCCAAGGACGTGCATAAAATTATACTGTTTCATTCGATAAAACTAATCACCTGATTTACTTTCCATCTAGAGGATAGTGCATTCACCTTTGATATTCCGTGATCAGTAATTTCACTAGGTGTGATCAATGATCTGAAGATAGTGAAATTCAGATATCAAAAATTCAATGTCTTCGATTCATGATGATCATAGAGCAGGAATAAATATGGATCCGCAATTCTAATCCATAAGGCTTTGAATCAGTGGTGGGACTTTTTGTTTGAATCATTTAGCTCTAAACTGTTCCAACAAGTACTTGTTAAATAAAGTATGTTGTTTCTAGATCCTTATCTACCTAAAGATAGGTTGTCTGTAAGTTTTTTTGCTCCAGACCCTACCTAGTTATCCTAATCATCATACTCACGAATGCAAGGGGATATCAAAGTTAGGTGTTAATTTCCTCTAGCATGTCTAACTAAACAGTTTGTTATAAATTGTTTACTTTAGTGATGGCCTTCATTATAAAAAATAACGGTCCGAAAAACCACTATAAACTTATCAGCAATTACTTATCTTAGTGTAGTTTGAGTCAAAGATGAATATTTACCAATATATATTTTACATATAGATGGTTTATGCCCAAGTTGTCACGTAAGGACTCCGAAAGACTACTACTACTGGAGGGCAATGCGCAAGGCGTGTTTTTAGTACGTGAAAGTGAAACCAGCCAAGGTAAGTCAACCATAAAATGTTATCTCATTAAATAAACATTTCATATATTATACCATGATTTTGAGTAACTTTCGGTAAGCTGTTCAGCAATAAATTTGTTTTTTCATAAGTCTTAAAACTACTCTAGGTATTTCGTTTAAGAATTATAAAACTTGTTAAGCATGTATTATGATATCAGTGCCTACAGTAATCGGCAGCTGGTCCAAATCTCATTATATTTTGTGGTCGTTGATAAGATTGTCGTAAATTACAATTTTCTTTAGCTTTTCTATTTTGTTTTTAAGCGGAAACTATATGGTTGAATTTCTGATGCAACAACCGGATTTGAGTGTAGATCTTGGTTTTTCAGTGAATTTGAATTATTCGATCACTTGGTCACTGTCCTATCAACTAAGATACAATAGTTTACTGCTAATTTGTTTTTTGGTCCGTTATATTCTAAGCAACAGAAATACTCCAGCACTATTTTGTGTCAAAAGTTACTATATCTATAAAAGCAGTTGGTTGATTGATTTGTAATTTGTATAGTAGTTTCTTGTTAAAATAATTCTCATGAGCCAAAGATTCACATCGATCTATTAATTTTGATATCATAGTTAAAACGTTATAACTTCAACTTGTGAGCCCCATATTTGTATCTCAATTCGCTATATTCAACAGGAAAATACGTGGCTTAAAGCCAAGCATATAAATGCATGGGGTCCTAGGGATTCCCCACTACCTATTTCGTAACCATGTCCACAACACCACAGGCTGAGGATTTGTTTGTTTTCTACTTGAGTTCGTTTATTTTAGGTACTTTAACTTTTGGAACTCCTCCCTCCTGTTCTGTCTACAGTTTTTCCACAATATGTATATCAGTTGGTACGAAGAAACTAGGTGTTCATATTTGTTGATGTGAAGTCTTATTTATTTATTTATTTGAACACAAATATTGGCAAAAAGATGCGCCGAATGCACATGCGCCACACAATTCACTTGTTTTGTGTGTGGGCTGTGATACTGCTCAGGTGCCCAAGCCGAAGCAGGCGGTCTTCTTAAGGAGCCACACCCGGAGCCTTTGACCTAAAGGCCTGATTCACAAGGCAGTGGAGCAACGTCAGGAGATGCAGTCTCATGGTAGCCGGTGACCAATAATTGGTTCGTACGCCATTTTTTCTTCAAGGATCGTGGAGCCCCTGTAGACCATTGGTTTGGAATCAGGGTTTTACAACTCTATTAGGTGGTTTCTCGGTACCCATTAACCCAGTTAAGGCACCGGGCATTCGCTTTTCGTCCTCTCGATTTCGTAAACAAAAGTACTGCCGCGAGAAGGCAGTGTGTAGGACTTCCTTGGCAGTGGCTGTACACACGTGGCCATGTGAGAGTATTTCGAGAGGGAGAGCGAACTCCCCGTTCTCAGCCGTACCAGGAGATTTGGGGTCACGACGTAAAGTCACCTTGTCTGTGATCTCAACAGATCGTTAGACTAATGCACTGCAACCTGAAAGTAAAGACTTCGGTCTAGTCATTCTTTAATGTGTCATACGATGGTGTATTCTTAGATTCTGTTTCACCATTAGCTAAGTTGGTGAAACATTTCCTGAAACATGTAAATGCTGTGTTGCTCAACAGTTCGACAGGAACCTTTACTATACCTGTTTTATTGGTGGTATTGAGTTTACTTTTTATTGTGACTGTCGCACAACTAGCCGTTATCTGTACAACCAAGTTCTAATAAATCTATTAGTGCACAGTTAATGAGATAAAATATTTCCCAAATTTCGAAACTTGATACCACAGATACTTACCAGTTGTTCTTCAGTTTCGTTCGGACGCTTTCCATTTTGCATGTTTTATTGGTATCGACTGTAGTCAATCAAATAATTTCTGTTTTTTTAACTGCATATCATTATGAATTCAAAGAGTGTCTCAATTGAAAGGCTTACCATACTATTAATGTGAACAGTGACAAATTTTCACTATCGAGCTAAAGTCACTTCAAATCTTTGAGGACGTACTTTGAAACCAGATTTAAACTTTTGCATTATTTTCTAAAGTATGGTGTCTATGACTTTATTGACTGGATTTGGTTCATATATGATCTAGATAAGGACAATGGTGGGATAATTCCTATTCACCACAAAACTAACAAAGCATGAACGGTTTACTCTATTTTTTGTCCGTTTTCTGTATAGGTTGTCCTCCGAGAATTCACTTTACGCTTTATATGTTGGTCTGTAATCTTAATAGCTTAAGAGTAACTGCGAAATAATTCCTGCGATTTCTCTCATTTAGATAAACTATGTGTTTTCCTTTTAAACTCAATTTGATGATTCAATGATTTTTTTTTTCATAAATAAGATTATCTTACATACATTTCTTCTCCTATATTAAAAGTGACTACTGAATTTGAATTATAACGAATAAATCTAGAACTCTATTATTATGAAAAGGCAAATACTTGCGCTGTAATCACTTTCATTTATTTAATTTTATGGCCACTTGAAAAGATGTTTTACTATTGGTTTGAAAACGGTTTAGAGGAATATAAGAAATCAGTCAATAGGCTTAAAATATACAGTAGTGGTCCCAATGTGTCCGTTTCTCGTCTAAATTTGTGTTGCCTAAACATTCTGTTATAGGCGAGCTCATAGATATCATGTATGTAAAATGATAGATCATTAAGAATATCGGCACATTAGTCCTAGGTTCTAAATTGTTTAACTCTAATTCAGCTCATATGAACTTCCCACTACTAATAATTCTAGTGATATTTATCCTTATGGATATTTCGAAGAGTTTCCAATTCTAGGTATGCACAGTTTATTTCTTCTGCGAAGTTTGGACTAATAGGAAGCAATATACAACTCACTTCTTATATTTGATTGTGATGAGATATATTTTGTAGGAATTTACTCATGTATATTTCTGAATTCACATATTTTTCTTATTGGATTCAACTGGTAAAAACAGGTTCAGTAGCTACATCCAAGTAATTTATGGAAACATCACGAATTGAAGTGGTTCGTGGTTAAGATGAAATGAATTATTGGTAACACAAGCATTTTGTGTTAGGATAGTCGGAAAAATATACCAATAATTATCGTGTTAAGTCTATGGTGGCCTTGGACCTTAAATGTACATTTCCTATTGGTCGATGTCTACTTCACTTGTTAAATATTTTGTAAATGTTGTTTCTTATTTTATGGTACGATGTGGTATGCTTGATTGGTATATAGACAAAGTATGTTTGAAATATAATGATTCATAACTCAGAGGCTGTGATTTGTGTTCTTGACTCAACTGGCTAGGACAGACAGCGAGGCAGGGCCAATCAGGCCACTAGGTCGTCCCTTACGTATATTACGTGTCCACTGTCCATTGTAATCGATATAAACGCTGCATATCAAACCCTGCAGTCCCACCCGTTACAACATTTTGTCACCGATATCTCAGAGTGCTATTCTCATACATTAAGAATTAGCAAATAAGAAATATAATTGATAGGTGGAAATTTGTTCATAAAGTTTTACACATGTTTACTATTCCCCTTAATTTTAAATATCTTAATCAAGTAGAATTTTATTTAAGAAAACTCTATAGGCTAATAAATTTAAGTCATATAAATATCTCATGTTATTGATGTTAAGTCTTATTGAAATTGATCAAACTCACATCCCAACGGTTGAAAGCTTCAAGTTAGACATTTAAGTTCATTAATCACTGAGTGAATAGGGACTCAATTGCTCATTTTTGTGACCTTATTAGTTTTTAAATTAGTTGTTGTTGTTTTCATTCGATCGATAAAGTAAATTTTAATTGTAATAAATATCTCCTAATTTTAGGTCGAATTATCAATTAATATCTCATTATTTACCGTTTCATATAATTTAAAACCATATTTTCATTGATTATCTACTCGGACAAGATCTAATTTTTATCTCTTTGTTATAATTCCCCGTATCACAATATTGATCATTTTTAAAAGGTAACTTCCCGTAATATTTTTCTTCTCAGGTTCCCTAACATTATCTGTACGAGATGAAGAACGTGGATTATCCGGTATTATGAATACAGTGAAACATTATCGTATCAAACATCCAGATTATCGCTATTATTATATTACAACCAAGTGTAGTTTTTCTAGTCTTCAAGAATTAATACAATTTTACTCAATTGATTCACATGGTTTATGTTGTAAACTTACAAGGGCATGTCTATGTCCACCACCAATAACCTCAGATTTATCAGTTAAAACAAAAGATCATTGGGAAATATCTAAATCTTCAATTGTTTTGACTGAAAAACTTGGAGCTGGACAATTTGGTGAAGTGTGGAAAGGTATGCATATATATATATGTATAATGGTTTACATGATATTTTGTTAGGTTAGTTTATTTTAACGATTGTTTGCATCCACTTTTCTTTCTTCCAATTTGTGTATCTCACTGACACTAATAGATCTGTCAATACGTTTTTTCTCAATACTGTTTACCAACTTAACATACAGAAATTGTTTAGAAATATATAACAAAAATAGCCAAAAAAGAAAGCTTAAGTATATGTAATGATCAGTTTATAAGATTTTACTTAGTTGAACTGCATATAAGGGTGGTTAGATGTCTCATTTGAACATTTATCAACTTTTTTATAATTATTCTTTAAACTGTGTTTCATTTCCTATTTATTCTTATTCCAATACCATTCGTATCCATCTTAATTTCAAGAATTTTATTATTAATATTATTAATGGCTTTATTCAATATTATATTTTGGTACAATATAGAATTTTCAACACAGGGTATTTCAACAAGTTACTTACGCAAAAAAACAGTAACAAATACAAAAAAAGGTTTAAAAAAACCGAAAAACTGTACAACTTTTAAAATTAAAGACATGCTAATAATGCAGGTTAACCCTAACAACCTATTCGTCACCGAGTATATTTGCTAGGTAAGGTATTATAAAACTTTTATACTTTTGCTTACGTGTATGGATTTTAATGTAATGACGTCTCGTTCTACCCGAAGATATACAAGGAGAAAGGTAAGAGTGAAGGGGATGGTTAGTATCTGATAAAATAATACCTGTCAGGAGTTTGCATGACTTTAGATGTCTATCCACAACCATATTAATTATAACCTCGAAAGATTCACCACACATCTTGCTAACTGCCTTCAGTACTCTCCGCAATACAGCAAAGTCTTTTCTCAAAAGCCCGGGAAAGAATAATGGAGAACAGTAAAGAATAATAGGTAATATGCAAGAATTGACAAATTGTAAGAGTAAATGACGAGTAATTACTATATTCTTTAATTATCAGATCACGAGTTTATTACCACTCTTTGCGTCCATTCGTCCACTGTTTTTGCTGAAGTATCAGTACGCTGGTTAGTTCATATTCATTGCTACAAACATTACAGTACATGTAGATAGCACATTATTCACTAACCGAGATATATTTTAAAATTTTTTTATTTAAACACAAACATTGGTACAAAAAAGCACCAAATATGTATGCGCCACACTTCATCATTAAGTTTGTGTGGGGGCTGGGATACTGCCCGGGCGCCCAAACCCGTTGCAAATCGATGTTTAAGGTATTTGTGTGCTTGGTTTTACAACTTGACTCACCAACTCTATGTTTAAAGTTCCCCCTACCAAGTGATTATTTCATAAGTCGGTTAGTCACAGAAAAGCCATAATAAATCATTAATTTTTGTTAAAAAAAATAAGTGGATTTACTGGGAATGCATGGATTTTAGACGGGTAACGATCTTTTCTAAGTTGACTACTATGTGTTTTTAACTGTTAGTAGTTGAAGTAAGGTTTTTGCTCCAGAGTTAGTTCATACCGACCATAACCCTAATCCTTCTTCAATCTTGGCACTAACGAATGTTGCTGCAAAATCTCGCTCTACCTCATAATTCTGTGAACTCATTCACAATCATCTCATCCTCACATTCACAAGTAAATGTCTTTTCATCAGTCTTAAGGGCTTTTAAGTGCTAAGTGGTGTTTCGTTCACTAATATTAACCATAAAACATGTCGGGTTGATATTTGCGCGATTACTTAAATGCCCCCTTCTTGATCCTGATAGATTTGGAAGTATATTTTAAGTCAAACCAAACCAGTTTTTACCCTCCATTTAACTTATGCTTTCATTTTATAGATGACAAACAGTAATTTTCTTTAAGATGTGTGTATTATTTTCTAACCTGGAAGAAAAAAACCAACTGTATTAATTTTTTTTTATAATATCAACTAACATCGATATTTGTGTCTCATTTAATCACACCTGAATCACATCTGTATCTGTGTTGTGTGACCCTAATCTTTTCAGTTACTATAGTTCTAGCTAACAGGTTGGTTAAAATAACTGCCTTTGTTGACTTATGTAAGTTAAAACTCAGTCTTAGGAGCCGTGTACTAATGATAATTCCCTGTTTTATAATACTCGTGAGTTGATCCATTGTTTTAGTGTCAAATGCCTTATTTGTTTCCAACTGTAATTTGAATATTGATCACCTTGGAAAATGTGACACGTTAGTTATCTCACTCTTTGACCTTTGTAATTTTGCTTCACAAATCGAAGCATTTTTATATTGAACAAATCGATTTCTACATCAAACAATAAATGGCACGGTTATCTACAGTATTTCTGTATTGAAACAAATTCGGATTATTCAAGGACCGTGTAGGCGACTTCTTTCGTAGTTTTGAAAATTTTTCTCCATAATTTGAAGTGTATTAACACAGATGGAGATTATTCTAATCTCAGGTATCATAGGTATTGAGGTGAAGAGGATGCTGTTCGTTCTCTGTGGTAATTGAATTTCCACAAAAAACTTCATATACGTTTCACACCTAGTTTATTTTGAATTTATTAGGCAGAGAATTAGGAAAACAGTAATCTTTGGTTAAAATATTATTGTGCTGACAATTTCCTTTATCCACAGATTATCAGTCCAGGTTCTAAGTAACCACTATATAAATACCTACATAGTTCGATTTGGTAACCCAGCGCATGTTTATGTAATACCCTGTGGCTATGGTAAACAGTGGTTAACTACTCGTTGTATCCCAAAATTATACTAATATCACAACATTTCCTTTGTTGATTTGATGTTCTTTAACTAGGTACATGGAATGGTACTACAGAAGTTGCTGTAAAAACTTTAAAACAAGGTACAATGACTAGAGAGGATTTTCTAAAAGAAGCTCGTATTATGCGTGCAGCTCAACACCCAAAATTAGTTCGATTATATGCTGTGTGCACAGAAGATCCTATTTATATTGTTACTGAATTAATGTGTAATGGTAGTCTACTACAATATCTTCGTGATGGACCTGGAAAAAATTTACTGATTAATCAGTTGGTTGATATGATGGCTCAGGTAATGTTTTATATTTTTCAAATCATTGTTTCTATTATATATTAATGAACAGTATAAGCAATTATTGGATTTATACGTAATATCTTACCATTTAATTCACTAAGAAAATTACATCTAGTAGGGTAGGTCATTCAAGTCATTTTAAACTGACTAGTTCACATGTATGTTAAAAGGATACGATGAATCAAGTGTACAAATCATTCAGGAGTCAAAATTCAGTTCTTAAGAGTCGATTTTATGATGTATATGAACATAGATCTGATGAGACTATGAGTTATTGTTGGTTTTTTTTAATGCAAATACATCTGCCTGATAAATGACTAAATGTGTGAAATTTAAATAAAATAAAACTTTCTAATAACCATACAATTATAAAATATAATGCAGTGCAATAATAGATTACTATGCATATAAGGCGAACTCTATTCATCGCGTTTTGTGGACCTTATTAAATTTTGTATTTTGCATGCACCACGGACTGACTAGACAGATTTTTGCTAGAACAGGAATCAATATTTAGTGCTTGTAATTTATAAATTAATGATACCGTTAATTATATCAGTTTAGTTGTAACAGTCAATCACTAAACTACTTATCCATTCTATCACAAACAAACCTCAGTGTACATATTCTATCCTCTCGGACTCTTCGGCAATAGGAAGTATTAATCCTGTAAACTTACAACTTCATTACGAAGGTATAATCCACGCATAACGTTATTATATCCGGACCCCTTATTACTTGTACTTTAAGCGATAGAACACTATAATTATCAAGACGTGAAGTAGAAACACAAAAAACTACTGGTACAAATTGAGATTTATTCACACACCGACCACTCTAGTAGAAAATACACTCATTTATATATTGATTTGTATACCCACTCGATTGTTAATTAGAATGAAGTCACATATATGAAATCATAAGGAAATTGCACGTTGCAAGTTGCACGTCATGCTGACCATAGTTCACGTTAATTTGATACAGACAATATGTCATGTTGGAGCAACACCATAGAAAAAGAAATCAGTGTTGAACTGATTGAAATATTACATTGAAAATAAAGCAAATATTATACTGGGTAAACATATTGAATTAAAAACTTATGACTACAGCTGCAAACACCGCCTGTCCAGATGGATGGTATTTGGGGATACTCAACTCATGTTCCTCAGTCAATCAATATTCACTACATTGTCAGTTGATGTACCATATTTACCCAGTACCTTGCGTCTAATCTCGTAATCACCTACTCCATTATCCCAATATTCAGGAAGAGCGCTTTGAATGTAAGTATAATTAAAATGTCGCAGTGTGCTCACAACCTTTACTACCTTAGTTAGTTTCACAGGCATAGAGTAATACAGTGAGGAATTCTGCACACTATACTCAGGAACTGGTTGGTAGACGGTTGTCTAACTTGCGTCACAAGTATCGAGAGTTGGCGTAAATCTATCTGGCTTTTCGAATGTGTGCTGAGATTTTATCAGACACCAATTCTCCAGTGCTGATGATTTCGTGTGTGGATCAATTTACTATGCATTTCTAATTACCTAATCTGTTTTCTGTTTTGTCTTTATTCTTTATCATAATAGATTGCTAATGGAATGGCTTATTTGGAAAAAGAGCACTATATTCATCGTGATTTAGCCGCACGTAATATTTTAGTTGGAGAAAATAATTGTGTTAAAGTAGCTGATTTTGGTTTAGCTCGTATGGTGGAAGATCACTACTCTACATATATGGCTCAGAAAAGTACAAAATTCCCAATTAAATGGACAGCACCAGAGGCTGCATTAATGGGTCGTTTTACAATAAAATCAGATGTCTGGTCATTTGGTATTGTTATTTATGAATTAATAACACTAGGCCAAGTTCCTTATCCATCAATGAATAACACAGAGACATTGCATCAAGTTAGTACTGGTTATCGTATGCCACGTCCAGTGAATTGTCCACAACCAATATATGATATGTTATTACGGATATGGGATAGCTGTCCAGAAAAACGTCCTACATTCTCAGTTCTATTTGAATTTTTTGAAGATTATTTTGTCACATCTGATACTAATTATAAACATGCTAATTCAGCATTAACTGGTTGTAATGCTTCCATCACAACTATTAATAATAATAATATTAGTCCACATCAACCAGCCAAATCAATACCACTTGACACAACAAGTTCATCTAGCACAACATCGATCAATATCGACGGTACTCATTCCGCTATATCGAAATGTTGTAGTGGACGTCTATTATCAAGAGATAAATTACTGCGCCAAAGTACTCATTAATTGAACAAGTATTTGATTGAATTCAGTTTTTAATTCTTGTTTGGTTGTGCCGTTTATTTCCATGTTATTGATTGAAGGATCATTGAAACTATCTACCTGAATGTAATCAGATTATTCTCCTTTTTTTGCTCATCTTTACTTTATTTTTTAAAAAACAAAAGAAAAAATGGAAATTTATGTTTAATGTTGTTCAAATAATTACCGGATGAATTATTCCCCATTTTAATTTATTTAAATATAGTTGTATTATTCATTTATAATGCATTTAATAGAGATGATAATAAGAACAATTTCATTTCACATTGATGATGATGATGATGATGATTATTGTCAAAATCAAACATTGAGGCATTGAAATGTGAAATGTCTATTTAATTATTGAAATATCTATTGTGATTGTGATTAATTTTGCATTTTATTTAATTAACTAACATACTCGATGTATTGCATTTACAAATAATCTGTATTGTAAATATATCAATACAACCAACCGACAAGCATCGCCATAACTCAGGGTGTTTTAAACAAAGCATTTTGTGTTTTTTTTTCTCTCTCTCTCTCCCATTAATGATAAATTATTTTTTATTATCTCCACTTATCTTTAATGTATTTCTCTTCTCAATTGTATTCCTTCATTTACTTAATTTCATTCATATCTTCTATTTATGATTTGTAAATTTATATCATAATCTTAATCCCTATGGTGATTGTGTTGTGTATGTGGCTTTTCACCGACTTATTATGCAGTTCACTGATTCATTCCTTTTGTTTTATTAAAATTCTTCTCTTTTCTGAAATGTATTTCAAATTATATAATAATAATAATAAGAAGAAGAAGAAGAAGGTGAAGAAGAACATTAGCTCATAAATTTCACGTAGTTGTTTGTATTCGTCATGTGTTGCGGATGACTTGTTCAAGCATTCTTGACTCTAACTTAATATATGATGGATTATATTTTTAACATTGAGTTTAGTTTACTAATTTACTTGAATAATGAATGATCCAATCCAACTTATTAATTTACTTCTTTCCTACCCCTTCCCTCCAAAGAATAATTGTATATTTTCAAAATCGAAAGCATTTATTGCTTCCTTTACACCTTTGTTATTCTTTTATTTTGGATACAGGAATAACTGCAAGTGTATATATATACGCATGTGTGTGAAATTTTCCTCTTTATCCTTTCGAATCAACTATATTATTATTATTACTGACTTATCTGTCCATCCTAGGCTAATAATTTTGTTCGTAACGATTCCAAATTATTATAACTTGTCTATGTTTAATGGTTTTATTGTGATAATTGTTTTTTTGCTTTGCTGTTATAAGTAAGATACGTGTAATTAATTAATCGGTTTGTAAGAATGAATTTCCCGATACGATATGTATGTATGGTTTTGATATCAGTTTAATAAATCTCTGTCTGTATGACATTCATTTGAACAATTTTTTGTTTAGTTTTCATTAGTAAACCGGTTATCAGCGCTCTGCTTTGTGACCATAACTTGTTAAGTTAACTGAATTGGGCGTAGGGTGAACTCTCATAGTTGACATAAGAAAACCGTCATGTGTCACAGACCCATAAGTTAGAAAAAAGTTGGTTTATTTGATCCCATAGTAAAGCACCATCCTCACTGTAAAACCTGAACCTGGTGTTGACTGTAATTGTATTAGTACATTTTCATATCGTAAGTATCATAGTTGGAAGAATCCCTTCCCATCTACTTCGATTTACGTGGTCAAGTAAAATCACCAATGCTCACTTAAAAAGTATGACTCCAAACCGAGAATGTGCTTGGTAAGTTACATTCTCATTGTTGTTGTTTAGACAGAACAGCTGTTCAGCACTTTGTGGTCTTCAGGTGTTATTAGCTCCTAACTTAGATCGGACATGAAAATATCTGTTGTCTGTCAGTCGAATAAAGAAGTCTACCTTCTAATGCTTCAATAGAATAGATAACATCACACTAATAGTTTGTTCAAATATAAATTTCAGACTATCTTGTAATTACTTTAGGAAAGGGGATTGTGTAACGATAAAACTACCGTTCCATAAACTAGTTTATCTATCTTCCAAGTTTGGTTAAATTCCAAATGCATTGTTCCTAGTTTTAAAATTATAGGAACAGTTTGGAAACAAAAACCTAATTCCAGCTTTTATATAAGTGATTTATAGTATCAAAGTCACGTTAAAGCTATTTCAGGCTGTATGACACTATATCATTAGCTCCACCAGCCTTAAAACTAGGTGTTTTCTTATTGACATGTTAAGAAATGTTATGTACGCTTCGTTTATCATTTGTACTACTACCACTACAATTTACATGACACGAAGTAAAAACACAATAGACTGCTGGTACAAATGGAGATTTATTCACATCAAAAACACAACACCGACCACTCGAGTCGAAAATACACTCATTTATATATTGATTTGTATACCCACTCGATTGTTAATTAGAATGAAGTCACATATATGAAATCATAAGGAAATTGCACGTTGCACGTCATGCTGACCATAGTTCACGTTAATTTGATACAGACAATATGTCATGTTGGAGCAACACCATAGAAAAAGAAATCAGTGTTGAACTGATTGAAATATTACATTGAAAATAAAGCAAATATTATACTGGGTAAACATTAGATTAATTTAAGAATGGAAGTAAGATTGAATATGAATTGCAATGAGTGTAAAATGTAATTTCGCTACTTTGTTCCCTTCACTTCAAACAGCGTCACTCAACTACTGACAGTTTACGGTCGATGGTATTCTCACTACATAAAATTACTACTCAGTACAATAACAGAAATGAGACTTCCATACTACCTGAAAATTTGAAAACATTCTACAAAACAGACTACCAGTCAAATCTGATTATTGTGTTAGCATCAATAAACGACTGATGTTTGATAGAACTAGATGCAAACTTATAACCCTACTTTTTGATGTCAAGTTTTTGTTCCATTGAGACACATGATTGTTCGCCAAAGGGTACAAGGCAAGAGAGGATAGATAGTCAATGCGACTGAAAATCTACGAAATAAGCGTTTGTGGATCTGTACCATTTTGATTGGCCAACTATAGTCTTCGGAAACAAATCTCAAAAGCTATATCTTGAATCACTACATTTCCTTACGTGAATCAGAATGACAATCAGTGACCTCACAGACTGTTATTTTATCTTGTTTTGGTTACCCACACACTCTGTAATATTTATTCCTTCTGCCTTCGTCACGTGCTTACTCGACATCCGTAACACGCGTCGTTTACTTCACTGGTCTAAAGACTTAGCATTTTCGGTATTTCTCAGTCCATAATTTCACTGTACATCAGTGCTTTTAATGCATGAATTAGATCGGTACGAGGAATACTAAGCTACTTACCGCTCTTGGTTCCTGATATAATGTTTGACATTGCTAGGTTTGAAGAAATCACGATATCACCTAAAAGGGACGAACAGAACGAAAGTTAGCAACACAACAGCAAGTCAAGCTAAGCCATCCTACTAGGCCCCAGCCCTGCCAATTGGAGGGTGAAGACCAGATTCAACCGAGAGAAAAGTGAATTCCACAAGTATTCCTTAGCGCGAACAGACAAGCGCACAACTCATGCGTATATATACAGCACAAAAACGGCCTTGGAAATTGTCACATAATGGCGTACTAAAAGAAGAATAGAAACAATGAAATTTGAGGTTCTTGTAAGTGGGAGTTACAAACTATGGTAAAAGTGGGCGTTTTTAGTGCATCAATTATGAATTCCAGTTTCCAAAATAAAATAACAATAATGAGATGTTTACTAAGTGATATCTGAGGATCTAGCATCTGAAACAGAATTCCAGGATGCTTACTTTTAGTTTCCATGAGTGCACTTTAAGTATGTACTTACACTTGGCACTATATACTCAACTATTTGGCTACTCTCTCACACTTTAATCTGAAAAGCTTTTTAAAAAACGAAACAGGCCTAACTCAAAGTATATTATGGCATTTTATGATAATTAGAAGTGTTTGAATTATAGTGCTAACTAAGAATCCCAGAAATAACACAATTTGATCAAGAAGTACTAGATAACCACAAACGAATGTACTGTATTTGTAAATCGAAATCAAGCATTCAAGAAGTACAAAGGAATCATCAATTCATCCAAATACCACACATTTACAGACATATTTCAGTTCACATATATGTGTCTTTTTGCAGTCATTAACTAGTTACAGTTCACTTTCACCAGACATATCAGTTTCCTGTTTGTTGAGAGTTGTTATTTCATTGTTTTCAACACAGATTGAAAAATAAGTGGGTGAGGACAGACTTTTAGTCGAACTAATAATAAAGAACTGAACATTGTTGGTGCCCACTAATGTGGTACCACTTCCCATATACTTACATAATAAGTTATGTATATAATCTCTTCATAAGTTGTTAAAAAAGGTCAGGCACTATAATTCAGTAATCAGTGTTAATTAGTTGTGATACTTTGACTATGAGACATTAACTAGATTAAACATTTGTTGGTAAGTTGAATTATGTCAACGTTTAGACAAATTGTGATTAGTTGTCAGTGTAAAACATAATTCATATCATTGGTTTACTCCGTTCTCACTAATTTGTGTATCAGTTTAAGTTGCCACACCATATGAATGTAATGGAATGAAGTTATGAAAACAAATATCAGAGTATTAGAAGTGGTCAAAGTATCGGTGGTAGTAGAAAAGATAAAGTATGGATAATGTAATTTACGAAATCCGCGGAATAGAAAGTATAGGACTCCGTTCTCACTCATTTGTGTATCAGTTTAAGTTGCCACACCATATGAATGTAATGGAATGAAGTTATGAAAACAAATATCAGAGTATTAGAAGTGGTCAAAGTATCAGTGGTAGTAGAAAAGATAAAGTATGGATAATGTAATTTACGAAATCCGCGGAATAGAAAGTATAGGACAATTTTAAAACTCAAGATCGAAGAGAAGATAAAACGAATACATCCCCCCTATATTTACCAATTCTTGATCATGCCCCCTAACGTCTCCAAGCACTGATAGTGGTTACTGAAAGCGAATTCAAACAGGTAGTCTTCAGTTAACTACATAGCTTAGACCATTAGTTGGTGACTTCACGGACAGACGTCTCGTTTTAGTTCAACAAACATTAAACTCGTTTCAACTTATGACTACAGCTGCAAACACCGCCTGTCCAGATGGATGGTATTTGGGGATACTCAACTCATGTTCCTCAGTCAATCAATATTCACTACATTGTCAGTTGATGTACCATATTTACCCAGTACCTTGCGTCTAATCTCGTAATCACCTACTCCATTATCCCAATATTCAGGAAGAGCGCTTTGAATGTAAGTATAATTAAAATGTCGCAGTGTGCTCACAACCTTTACTACCTTAGTTAGTTTCACAGGCATAGAGTAATACAGTGAGGAATTCTGCACACTATACTCAGGAACTGGTTGGTAGACGGTTGTCTAACTTGCGTCACAAGTATCGAGAGTTGGCGTAAATCTATCTGGCTTTTCGAATGTGTGCTGAGATTTTATCAGACACCAATTCTCCAGTGCTGATGATTTCGTGTGTGGATCAATTTACTATGCATTTCTAATTACCTAATCTGTTTTCTGTTTTGTCTTTATTCTTTATCATAATAGATTGCTAATGGAATGGCTTATTTGGAAAAAGAGCACTATATTCATCGTGATTTAGCCGCACGTAATATTTTAGTTGGAGAAAATAATTGTGTTAAAGTAGCTGATTTTGGTTTAGCTCGTATGGTGGAAGATCACTACTCTATTACTATACATACGGGTAACATAACCTGCACCACCAAATGAAGTAAACTTGTCCATAGCCGCAATTTATCCTTGACAATTTTTCTAATGAAATTCTAACCCTTTTGTTTATATATACAATCATATTCAGTATTCAAAATCTCTCGATAATCTTTGATTTCTTTGTTAAATGATGAAACACCTTTCAGTTTCATAGGCTTTTTCAGTCAGTGTTTGAATAAAATTAATCATTTTTGATAATTTAGTAACATTCGTCTATTTTACGATTACCAAATGTAAAAAAAAGACGTTTTTATAAATACAACTGGATCGTTCAAAAAGACAATAATGCATAAAAGAAAATTTCCTTTGCTCAATTGTCTTCATTATTTTTAATAAGTCATTAAGTATGTTCCATTCATTCTCTTTACATTTATTTGCTACTGTTCATGATGGATAAATTAAGGTTTTGACTTTCACAGTTGGAAAGTTTCTATTATTATTTTTCACTGAACTTGACTAAAACAGAATCTTATTCTACGAAAAGAGAACATTTATCACAAAACTAAGGGTAGGACAATAAATCAGAGAAAACAAGTAAAAATGAATGTTTTGAAATTCAAAAAAAAAAAAAGAAACTCATTGTCAAGATACTTAAATTACGTCTATATTTGTGTAGGTAAAAATGATTCTTCTATTTCCTGAAATCTGATTACCTTTTTTAAAACGAGCAAAATAAGATACTGTGTTTGATAAGATCAATGATAGATGAATTGAGAAGAGTTCAATTTAAAACTGAAATGGTTCTATAGAAAACTAAAAAGATTTGCATATTATCACACTACAAAATTATTGCTATTCAAAAATAGAAGGCAGTGAGAAATACACCACCAACCTGACTTTATACGAGTTCTATTACATACGTTCTTGAGGGACAGTGGTGTTTATGGTAACAGTTGTATCTGTTAACGATACTTGTGTCGGTGATTTAATGGTATCAGTTGGTGGGTTCATAATGTCATTACTGCATTTACTACTTATTTTCGTGGTACTGAGGGGTTCAATTTCACAAGGATCATGAATAACAGGCTCATTCTGATGGTCAAAACATTTGCGCTTGATTACTAAGCCTAAATATATTAGGCACAAAGGAATAGGTGTAAGTATAGCTACAGTAATTGGCATGATAGCACCTAATTCACCAATTGGTTTTGGCATTGTATACAATAAAACAAGTATTCCAACACCAATATTTTGTATACCAGTCTCTAAGGCCACTGTAATAACTAATTTACGTGATTGTCGTAGAATTAATGTAAATAATGATGCTATACAAAAGCCAAGCCAAGGTAATAATGCACCTGTAAGAATAAGTAAAGGATATACACCTAATAGACGAGTTAAGGACCAGTTAATGTACACACCAATAGTTAAAAAGAATACTATGAATACATAAAATAATGGACGTGTTAACTTTGTGCATTTAACAGCCAATTTCGGTTTCCATATACGTAGACCTAAACCCATTAATGCGGGTATAGCTACTTGTAATAACTGGAAGACAATATTGACGTATGGAATTTTTATTTTGGTCACATCAATGAAGAATCGACCGTAGATGAATAGAAGAAAAGGCATCATGACTGTAGATAAATAAAAAATGAAACAAGAAATGAATACAAAAATAACGGTTACCACGATTTATGACATTATTATACACAGTCCTGTGAAACAGTTTAACAGAGATTAAAGATTAATAATTCATTTACAAAGGGAAACAGTTCTTTAGTATTGATTGATTCTTAATGGTATTTATGAAAACATTCTAACAGTATTGAAATTATTTAATATAGTTTCTTGTTAATTTATTGATTTCAATGTGTCCAATTTCGTGTGGATATAAAACAAATCAATCAAAGAAGCAACACACCAGGAGTTGCTGTTCTTAACCTCCTCCATATCTCAAATAATTATTAATCAAATGTGTTCCCCTTTTTCAAGGTTGCCAAATATTATAAAACTATGTTCCAGCGCGAGCACTGAGTCTGCATCCAACGGTGTTAATATTTAACTTAAACCAATCCACGAAATCGCACAACTTTACACTATTGTCTTCAGTGAGCTGATATCTCACAACAGACCTTGTTAAACTCCACTGGTCACGGCTTCACACTAGAACTCCAGGAAATGCCTCTTGAAGTCAGTCACTAGTGAGCAGATGATTATTATCAGAAGCGTTCGAAACGGCTGTCCAGTCCTTTCAGGTTTTCCATGATGGTCTAGCTTTAATTGACTCATGATTTCAACTATTGAAATTACTAAAATCTCCACAAAACCCCTTCTGATAAAAGCAAATTATCCAAATACAAATAATAAAAATATATTTTCAGTATAACAATGGGTAGAAACGTTGAATTTTAGGTGTTTCACGATTTCCTATGAGTTGCTGCCGAAGAAGTGACAAATACATTATTATTATTATTATTATTATTATTATTATTATTATTATTATTATTATTATTATTATTATTATCGTAAACAATCTAACGACTATACAATGCTGGAGATGATCAAATTTCATTTTGACGATGATACAACTTATAAATGATAAGTTGACATGGCTATTTTTTAAATACTTAATAATAAGTTGGTTAATTAGAATATAGAAGTTGTATGGTCTAAAATTTTGTCTACCTCTAGCGAATAACCAATATCTAAGGTTTATTATTTAACACTGGTGGTGATAACTTACTTTGTTTTCTAGATAGATTTTAAATGTTCTTATTACGATAACAAACTTTTCAGAATTAACTCATTCACAGTAATGAATTGTTTTGTATAGAATATGAAGACAAATGTTTGATGTATTTGTCCTAACTAAATCTCTCACATCAATATACTTCACTTATATCCTTTGAAATATATTCAAAACTGAATTTCATCGTACAGTTGAAAGAATATTGGTATATTGATTGCTTAACTTATTCAATTCATTTTATAAACAAAAAGGTGGGTCATTTAACCAGGATTTTTTTAGCAATCCCTTTATGTAATGCTAAAAAATGAATTACCATTCAACATTCTACTTCTGAGAAAATGTATAAAACTTTCCGTGTCCACCAGCCCGATTAAAGCGCAGGACATTCGCTTTACGTCCTTTCGATTTCGTAAACAAAAAACACCCCTGCTCCGAGAAGGCAGTGAGTAGGACTTCCCTAGTAGTGACTATGTGAGAACATTTCGAGAGGGTGAGCTGACTATCGCTACTCTCAACTGTACCAAGGCATTTAGGGACAAATAAATACTTACACCATACTCTAATATCTTAATGGTTTCTATTAGTGGTAAATAAAAACTGGAATTTAGAAAAGTATATTCACTATTGATAAGTAAATTAAACATCTAAATGAAATACTGATCAAAGTATAATGAAATAATGAACATAAAAGAAATACTAAAACAAAATAAACAGATTTATAGACTATGAATTATAAAAGTTTCTCAACTAAACATAAATTCTGTCGGTTAATACACTACAAAATTAGTTTGTTTTGTTTTGTTTTGAACAGTAATAGATGTAACCCTATTATAAGTTAATATACATTTTTTTAGTAAAGCTTCTTTATGACTGAATAGATTAAACAGTTCCAGACAAACTTGTTACTTATAATAAATGCAAAAAGTATATTACTAAATACTTACAAAAGATTCATATATGAAATAAATTTTATCAAACTGTTAGTAGATTGAACTTACAAAGAGCCGATAAACTACTAATGAATGTCATTAATATACTCAAGTTAATATCACCTCCGAGTAGAAGACACCAACCATTACTGGCACCACCACCTGGAGAACAAGCAATAGTAAGTAAACCAAAGCCAAAATCCGACCTAATTGGTATAATTTTTGCGATACCAAACGCAATCTAAAATACAGTTATATAAATAATCGATTTAGTTTTTAAGCAACGCATTATCTGAATATAAAATAGTTTTAATAAGGAAAATCTAATTTTCATAAATTCATCTGTTCAAGTAGGGACTTATCATGGAATTTCGAGAATATCATAAAACATCTACTTCGACAAATACTAAATAATAACTAACTACATAAAAATAAAAATCATCATATGAGTTATCAAATTTTATTTTCACTCAATAAATATGGGTACATTGAATGACTCCGATTCACAAGTTATATCACACTTATCTATCGATATACTCATAGTTAACGTTGAAGAATCCTTCTGAAAAACCAGGTTGTAAATTGATGTGTATAGTCTGAAAGTTCCTAATGTTAACAGATAATGTGTAGCTTCAAATGATATTTCCCGAAGGATTATCATTACACAGTGACATCATGGATCATGTAAAGATATTTCATAATGATCACATAGATGAAATCCTATCCACTTCATACTACGTGATACTTACCTGAAAAATTCAGTGAATATAAACAAAGGGTATGCAATTTTATAAAAGTTCTATATAAGAAGGTAACAGTATTTCATAGATTGGCCGATTAAATCATGCTGAAAATTATTATTATTGTATGTGTCGTAAAATTAATATTATCAAATATCAGGCAAAAGCACCATATTCTTGAGAAAAATACATCAATCACTCATACTATCTGAATGAATCCAATAAACCAGTTTCTCTAGCTTAAACTATACGTGACCACAATCGGTTATAGCAAGTATATAACATACTATTCTGCATTTTATCGTTAGAAATATGCATATTCTATAATAAACTGAATTGTCTGCGATTAAGCATTTGTTTTAAATACCTTACGTAGAACAAGTAAGTAGATGCTTAATTATTTGTTTTTAGTATGAGAAGCACAAATGTAAATAACTGACAACGGAAAGAAATGATAAGCTATCATGAATGACAAAATGACAATAGAAATTACTAACACTAAATAGAATTAAAAACTATTAGATATTTAGCAGATTAGTTTAAACACTTAGCTCGAGTCAGAACTCAGACCCAACCAAGTAGCATGGTTAAATCATACCCAATCGGTACTATTCAAATTTTAATATGAAAACAAATAAATAGTTACTGGGACGAAATTAATAAAGATAACCAATTATCTTAAAATGAACTTGGTTAGCTTTGCGCTTTAGCTCTAGTAGTCGAAGATATTTTGATGGTACAGATTTGATATGATACTAACAACATCATGTAGCAATACAATTTTGGGATAAACAAAGGAATACTGAAATTTTCATCATGTCATCGAGTAACAGAATATACATCGAATTTTTAAAAAATCTTTTTTTTTGAAGATTAATTACATTATGATTTCCTATAGATGATATCGCACTATTCAATAAAACCACGTAGAGAATGCCAACAATTGATTACTTAGTTCCAAGTCTAAATCTTCTACTATTCATTTCAACTTCACTGAACACTAAGCATTGGATCATAGTTTGAAAAAGTAGTAGGCATGAAAATTGCTAAAATATACATCACTTATGGTATAAGTAAAACTAATATATTAGTAGATATCCCAATGAGTAGAAAAATTCGATTTTCTGATGTTTCGTGACTTAGTGTAAGCCACTTCTTCAGAGAATAAACAACCAAAACAAAATAAATCCAAGTTTAAATATTTTTGTTGTTCTGTTGTACTATTAAAACATGGATTTTGTTTTGGCTACTTATCGTCTGAAGAAGTGGCTTACACTAAGTCACGAAACGTCAGAAAAATTAATTTTTCTTCCACTCATTGAGTTATCTACAAGTATATCAGTTTTATTTGTAACAATCTACTCAATGCTCAATTTATTCGAAATTATCAAGTTAAACCTTGGTAATGATACCTATCACTTATGATAGGCTGTTTACTAATTCATTTAAATGTAAGGTTGATTTATCAGTTTTTCTAAGACGCTTCATTATGTTTAATAGATTAAATACTGATTTCAAATTATTAGGTGTTTATTATTAGCTGTCTACGCAAAATACTTCACATCCGTTGGTCAGACACTATCAGCAACAACCTACTATGGGAGAGAACAAACCAGATCGTAGCGGAGGAAGAAGGGCTGGACATGGATAGGACACACCTTGAGGGAATCACCCAACTGTATCACAATGCAAGCCCTCACATGGAATCCTCAAAGCCAAAGGAGGAGAGGAAGACCACAAAACACATTAAGCCGAGAAATGGAGACAGACATGAGAAGAATGAACAAAAATTGGATGGAACTAGAAAGGAAGGCCCAGGACAGAATGTGTTGGAGAATGCTGGTCGGCGTAAGTAAGTAAAGTAAATTATTAGGAGATTAGTTTGAACCCCTCATATTCAACTGATTTTGTACATTTTTCAATACACAAAAGCACATTTCTTTTTTTGATTTGTCACTGTTATTTTATTCGGCTCCACAAATGTTGTACCTAAACACCGACTTACACGAATACATATTAACTTATACGAAAGTTTAGTCTTACGCATATTTTCACTCTTATGTGATTCTTATGTGTACAGTAATCATTTACATGTTTGAAGAAAAAAACACGTTATATGTCGTGGTTTCTCATCACCACCATTACCAAGAATAACACAAGACATCCAGCTTCCTATCCTTTCCAAACTGAAACTGAAGTAATTTTAATAGTTGAGATCATGAGTCAGTTGAAGCTAGACCACCATAGAAAACCTGGAAGCACTAGACGGCTGTTTCGTCCTACTGTGGGACTCCTCAGTAGTCCGTATTCACGATCCTGCCTCGCGAGATTCGAACCAACGATCTATCGATCTCGCACGCGAACGTTTAACCTCTAGACCATTGAAGCAGCAACTAACGGTGTTAATGTCTAACTTCAACCAATCCACGAAATTGAGCGACACATTACCACACTAACCACAAAACCCCTTCTGATACTGGGACTGAAGACTATAATACTTATTTGACTGAATATTCTCAACGTTTTTTAAAAATAGACAAACTACTTACCAATGGCATAAAAAAAAATTGACAAAAGAACCCAATTGATACAGAAATGGGTCTTTTGAAATGATGCAGGATCAAAGGAACTTCCAAATCACACCCCATTGTGAATGTGAATACAGTCACCATGATTATGACGATGATACGGAAAACTAGATGACCAATGCCTTTATCTGCAGTTACAATTACGGGAAAACCCATTGTGTTGTTTTTATTGTTGTCATCATTATAATCCTGGTTATTATATAAAGAGACATTGAGTCGATAGTCAATTACTAAACTGTCGAAATATTGCTTCCTGAGGGTCTCAGAATTATTGGCAAACCAAGGAGTAGGACTAATATATCCATGCTTTGGTTTCGCTTGACGAATCCAAAATACCAAATAGTCTAGTCCCACTAATTTTGGTAATATATAAACTGATATATTTGTACTCGCATTTAATGAAGGTGGTAACCAATACCACGATTGATTAACAAGCTCTGCGGATAACGTAAAATCCAAGTCATAGGATAAAGCTAAAGGCACATGACTGCTGTAGCTGATTAAGCATATAACAGGTTTGATCTGATAATTGTCTACAAACTCCAAGTCCTTTTTAGAAATACTGATTACCACATATATAGCATCTCCTTCATTATGGTAATCATAAATATACATTGAAGAGTTCGGATTTGTTTCATCATGTTTAAGCTGGTATCGTTCTCGTGAGCTTTTGGTTTCTTCAGCATACATCAAACCAAACAGTTGTGGAGGTGTATCTCTGACTGGAAAAGCATTCAATAATATTATGTTGGCATTAATCAAGAGACTAATGATTGTAGACCAAGAAAGCATGAGCCAGAATTAACGGATAAACAACGTGACTTTATACCTGACACAACATAATATACTAGCATCACTTTATTCCTTTTCAATCAGCCAAACACATTGTTTCAAGGTCATATGATTACAAATCACGCCTCACACCTTTCTTAAAGTAGATTGGTTTAAATTGTGTGATAGACATATTGCCAAAACATGTATCGACTTATATCATTGGTCAATTTATCTGATCATGAAGATAACATATCGAATGATGATTAAAGATAACATTTTCATTGATTTGAACTTACATTAAATTAAATAAGAAGTATGCGATATGTTAGCGCAATACGTTTCGAACATTATTACATTGTTCTGAGAATATTCGTCTTCTTATTATATTATACAGATTTATCAAAAGGACTAATTACATTAAATTTCATTGATTATAAGCATTTTCTACTTTAGGCTTATTACTTGAAATTATAAATAATAATGTCGGGACGTAATTCAATTGATTTGATTTGTTTCCTAATTCACAGGCTCACTTGATCACGTAGAAATAATGGAGAAAGATTCTTGTTCTGTACATTAACTTTGCCTATTTTTTTGTTGTTGGTGTTATTCCTTCAAAACGAGATTTTTGGTCTCTCCATACTTTACACTGGTTCCACAAAAGTCTAATGTAGTGCCAAATAACCAGAATCCTAGATTTTCCTGTCAACTACCTACAACTACTTAAAATCTCAATATAATGTGCTTGCATTGTTGAATTTCTGACTAGACAAGTGGTTAACAATATAATTTGGTTTTGGATAGCACAGTGGATACTTAAACTTCTTCAAAAATATTGATTGTCAGTGTCATGAACAGCATGAAAAATCAATACATTTACCTGATGCAGATCTCAATGATAGTTATACTGGTTCAGAATGATTAAAATGTACAACCGAAATGTCAGATTAAGTGTCACTAACGTTGGTGAATACAGATGGTTCATCTAAAGGAATCTATTTCAAAGATGTAGTGTACATGCTCTCCATATTCATTAGAATATTAGCATACTATGGAAGTATATACTATGGGAATTCATATCATATTATTGTTTCAGTAGTACTTCCAATGAATTATTTGATTGTTTGGTCAGAACTCGCTCCCCAAATAAGTCCATCAGCATCAGTTAATGCTTTCAAATTTCGAAGCTCCGAAATGAAATACATGGATAAGATCACAATTGATTGATCACTGGGTGGTGATCAATCTCATGCTTGTCTAGTCCTTATTAGTGCAGATCGAATGCTATCGATCATGTTGCAATGTGGCCACCAGTCTAGGTGACTCGACACTACCTCCAACCACCATCTAATCTCATTACATAGTGCCCGCAGTGTCGAGTCACCTAGACTGGTGGCCACATTGCAACATGATCGATAGCATTCGATCTGCACTAATAAGGACTAGACAAGCATGAGATTGATCACCACCCAGTGATCAATCAATTGTGATTACATCTCAGTCCTTCAGGAGGTTAGTCACGGCTCGGATAGCTCAGTGGTAACGTCTCTGACTGTGAAGCTGGGTGACACGAGATCGAATCCGCCAGGGAGCACCAGTTCCCTCAAGATTACAGGTACACCTTGCTGACGAGTGCCAAGTAGCACGAAACCCGGGTCCAGGGTTTCCTGTTGACTACCTCCAACCACCATCTAATCACATGGATAAGATACTTTATAATATTTTCCTAATATCCCAAAAATACATATCTTTTATTATTGTACACCCAACTATGAATATGTTTCCACCTGGTTTATTCATTTTTCATGTTGGAAAACAATTTCTATGTAAGCATTTTGTTACTTTAGCCTAAGAACTCTCTCCGTCAGCAGTGTAGTAACTAAAATATAAACTATTATATCTGGTCAGTCACTGAGGTCAGACATATATCGACTTCGTTGGGGAGGGAAGGAAGTCTTACCGCTTTTACATATCAGTCGGGAACCATTGCAGTTCCTCAATACTGTAGCTCAAACTTGGAAATGGAACCACTACAACTCCTACGATACGAAGTAAAAACACAATAGACTGCTGGTACAAATGGAGATTTATTCACATCAAAAACACGACACCGACCACTCGAGTCGAAAATACACTCATTTATATATTGATTTGTATACCCACTCGATTGTTAATTAGAATGAAGTCACATATATGAAATCATAAGGAAATTGCAAGTTGCACGTCATGCTGACCATAGTTCACGTTAATTTGATACAGACAATATGTCATGTTGTAGAAACACCATAGAAAAATAAATCAGTGTTGAACTGATTGAAATATTACATTGAAAATAAAGCAAATATTATACTGGGTAAACATTAGATTAATTTAAGAATGGAAGTAAGATTGAATATGAATTGCAATGAGTGTAAAATGTAATTTCGCTACTTTGTTCCCTTCACTTCAAACAGCGTCACTCAACTACTGACAGTTTACGGTCGATGGTATTCTCACTACATAAAATTACTACTCAGTACAATAACAGAAATGAGACTTCCATACTACCTGAAAATTTGAAAACATTCTACAAAACAGACCACCAGTCAAATCTGATTATTGTGTTAGCATCAATAAACGACTGATGTTTGATAGAACTAGATGCAAACTTATAACCCTACTTTTTGATGTCAAGTTTTTGTTCCATTGAGACACATGATTGTTCGCCAAAGGGTACAAGGCAAGAGAGGATAGATAGTCAATGCGACTGAAAATCTACGAAATAAGCGTTTGTGGATCCGTACCATTTTGATTGGCCAACTATAGTCTTCGGAAACAAATCTCAAAAGCTATATCTTGAATCACTACATTTCCTTACGTGAATCAGAATGACAATCAGTGACCTCACAGACTGTTATTTTATCTTGTTTTGGTTACCCACACACTCTGTAATATTTATTCCTTCTGCCTTCGTCACGTGCTTACTTGACATCCGTAACACGCGTCGTCTACTTCACTGAAGAAAATACACAATCGCGTTAATTGATTTCTGTTCGGTCGTCTAAAAACTTGGCACTTTCGGTATTTCTCAGTCCATAGTTTCACTGTACACCAGTGCTTTTAATGCATGAATTAGATAGGTACGATGAATACTAAGCTAGTTAAAGCTCTTGGTTCCTGATATAATGTTTGATATTGTTAGGTTTGAAGAAATCACGATATCACCTAAAACCGGTATTTCTGATAACTATCGGTAAATGCGTTATCTGATACAGAGATTATGAAATTACACCCTGATATAGACCGGGCAATAGGAATTTCTGGGTATGACTGAAAGTTCTTTTTAGTGATTAGTGAACAATTCAAAACCTCTGGATTCAAAATTATAGTGAGGTACCTTGAATTATTTTCGGTTTGGAAATTATGTTTCACACTAATCTGTCTACAGACTATGTGTCACCGACTTCTGATTTCATGAGTGTCAGTATCAAACTAAGTGCTAGAAGCAAAGCAACAATTTTCGGCTGTATACACTTTGAGGCGATGTTATAATGAAAGGCTCAGTCAAAGTTTTAAATATATAGCGGGACAATATCTTTTTACCAACTGCATGTCCGCCATAAATGATAAAGGAGCCACTAGAATCAAGCCCATTCAACAGAAATTGTGTTTATAGATGGGAACTTTAATGCGTGGGCTAATCTTCTCTGTAAAACTGACAGAAATTTGTATTATCAGTTGAAATTCGGTTATGGCAGATTGAATAATATCCAGATTGTAATTAAGTTCTGTCCGATACAAACTTACGGTTAAATTGTAGCGTGGCGTCAAGTTGAGGCTAACTATGAACACCGCTACCAAGAAACACGTGCCAAATAAATCAGAAGGCGTAAGAAGCTCGTTCCAAATGACTCCATAAAATCCCCGAGAAGCCGAATACCAGAAGGCAATTAATGGACCAAGTCGAGGTTTATTTGCTGGCGATCTCGTGGCATCGAAATGATACCGAGATCGTGCCAGGATACAAGCTTGGTTACAGAACGTAACCGAATTCGCGCGAAGTTACAATCGAAGTGTGTGAATAAGAATGGAAGCACAAAATTGCTGTCATTAGCACAGTCAAACAAAAGCACGTTACAACAAACACTGGTACAGTTGGTTATAATAATAATTGTTTTTATTAAACCAGTCGTGTTCTCGTGATAAACGTGAGTCACTACAGGAGCCCCCCGCTAGAAAGGGTTTACACTTTCGATAAATAGCGGTTTGAATCGTGGGACTGATCGGCTGACGAGCGATTGTAGGACGGAAGAATTGGCGAACAGGAAAGCGATCGTTGGTCGTCGAGTTGCCAACGAAGGTCGTTTTCGGAGAACGGTAACAGGAGCGATGTGCTGCATTTGTTGCTTACGTTGTCATGCTACACGAGAGTGGTTTGTATCCAGAATCTGAAGGGGGCGTTCGTACGGGTCCGGACCATAAACGCTGCAGACGAAGGGCGAAACCACGTTGAGCCAAAAGACCAGAAGCGACTGTGACGACCAAGTTCGAGACCAAGCGTATGCCAAGCATTCGAAACCAATATATCGACTGAGTGCGTTGACAAGAGCATGAGTGATCAGGCCAGCTTTCGCCAAAGTTGACTGAAGTCGACGGAACCAAACGGAGAGGGTCGAAGGCGTGGGCTCAGGAAACAAAAAGAAAATAAAAAAAGAAGAGTGTAGCATGCGTGTAGCATAGGAATAATCCTACACCGTATCGGTTGTTGACTGTGCGACTAGTCGCGGAAACGTACGGGTAACCGTACTCGGCGACCGGAACGTGAGACGGGAGTCCCGTTCGCGTCGCGTGAGCCTGCAATCTCATCCGAGGTCAGAGGCGGCGTGGTCTGCTGATCTGGACGTGAGACCATCGTCTCGTCCGTAGACGGTGCAGATGACGCGTGCTTTTGACCGGGACGTGAGAATGAGGTCTCAGATGTATCTAGCGTGGGACCTGAAGAAGATTTAAGGATCCCGCTAGGTTTGATAGGTCTAGCA